TATATTTGGGTACACAATGGAGCAATAAAAAGCCCTTTTTTACAATAAAAGAACATATAATTAAAATAGGGTGTTAACAGTGGAGCGGACGCTGAGAGAATGAATGGCTACCCTTCTAGCAATTTTAACATGCTCCGCGACGCCTGATTGTTAAACTGGCAATCATACATGTAGTTGTGGTTTGCTATTGGAAAGGCGCTAGGCGCCGCAACAGAGTAACTTGTGTAATTTTGCGCATTCTTATTTATCGATCATGTTGGCAGACAGAGTAAGTATCTATTTTAAGTAATTAACTAATGTATTTAATATGTAAGTAGGTACCTACGTAAGAATAGATATTAGTGGGTGTGGTGATTCGTTAATTTACCAGTAAAAGTAGCTGTAATGAAACAATCTCGTTCAGTACGTCTAGGTTTAGGTTTGATTTCAAACTTTAGACTTGCAGACTTTAGACTTGAGATTGGGTGACGTGAACAGTACAGAACCATGGTACGGAACCAAGTACTCAAGTATAAGTGGTAGTTTTTCATAGAACTAGTACCAAACCAAAGAGAACTAGACTACCCATCCTCTAATACCTAATTCGGTGATCTAACTGCGATGACTAGTCAAAGTCAAAGTCAAAGTCAAAATCATTTATATTTCAATTAGGCCAGAATGGCACTTTTGAACGTCAAAATAAAAATAATATTAAAAGTGAAGCTATTTGCTCATTCTAAGGTGTAAATTCCTATGGAGAAGAACGAGCAAGAAACTCCATAGGTTACTCTTTTTCAATCAGGTTCACAATACAATTTAGGTATACTTACTAATTCTATTCATCTACAGCTGTATGAGATATCTGTGAGTCTGGGAGAGATAGTAGACCGAATGAATACAAATTTGCGCAAATACAACGAGTATTGTTTGGAGAAGACGAATGAACTTATTCAGAATCTTTATGACAAGAATAAGGAACATTTGGAGATATACAGACGTCTAGAGAGGCGGTCCGTGGATTCCGCTGAAGTTCGTATTCTTTTATTTTCTGGTTTAATCCTTTGCTGCTTTCGAATATCTGGTTCAAGCTAAGCTCATTAATAATGTTTGAGAAGGGCTACTTTAATTAACAGTTTCTGGTCTTAGTTAATCACCACGAGGGTAGCACTATCTTCATTAAGAAATTAAACTAAGCAAACTTCTATGAGCTTTTTTTTCAAAGAACCTAAGTAGGTGGGTACTTAGGCAGTTATCTACCCACAGTACTATTCAGCTTTCCAGATACTTAGACAGACTTCATCAATTCCTATGCAGGTTTCAAGAACTATAGACGTTCTAAGAGAAAAGATAGAACAATCAGGCAATGAGGAGACCATTGCGAGACTGGAGTTAGAGACCCGGTACTGGAACAAAAGAATGAGGGACTTCAACGAGATCGCCACCATCCTTATTAAGATCCGTATGGAACAATACAAGTTACAACAGGACCTGGATGATTATAGAACTATAACGTATGCATAGAACTATAATCACGTCAATCAGCATCAGTCACTACCATCGTATTTTTAAAAACTACTCCTGTTGATTAGATCATGTTTATTTACCGCTTTGCACTATTCACCAGTTGTTTTAATCTATTATATATATATAATTCAAGGTGCAAGGACTTACCCGGCACGAAGACCATTTGCTTCGATATGATAGGCGAGAATTTGAGAGAGAGGCTTACGTACCTTCAGGGAAAAGAGCTGGATATGGCCAGGACCCTTATAACGTATTTCTGTGTTCGAGGTAAAAAAAATTTGTAGTTTTATGAAAATTAATTCATCGTCACGTCTTCAGAGAGTCGTCGTCGTCTTCATACACAACTCATAGCGGCCTAGACAATTTAAAATTAGAACCGAGGGATTTTTTTTTTAAAGAAACATTGCCCCACCTTAGGATTTTCTCCTGTGTCGTAGGTGCATTTACAAACATACAAGCTCATACACACATGAGACCCAGACCCAGAACAACAATTTGTGGATCACACAAAGAATTGTTCCCTGCGGGAATCGAACCCGCGACACGCGATAGTCAGTTTCCCAACCATCGCGCCAACCGTGCAGTCAGGATTGCAGAGGCACTGAGGGTCGATTATTATCATTCTCTTCATTTTCGACTGTGATCACGAAGCGGACTGCCAATCGATTCCCCCGACACCTTAGGCAGGTAGCAGTGGTATAACTACAGGATGGCAATGCAAGTCAGCATAATACCACGGGCTCCCAGCTGAAAGAGGTCCAGTTAAGAAGTTTTCATCGTAACTTCTGTTTTTTATTGAGACCGAGAGGTGAGCCCAACCGATAAATTTGCCTTGGGCCCGAACGCATATAGTTACGCCACTGGCAGGCCAGGATAATATAACGACCTTACCATAAACTAAGTACTCAGAACCTTGCGATTTATTGAGGTTTTACAGTTTCCACGCCGACTGTTCTAATTTTAGGAACAAATCGCATCCTATACACGGACAGTGTCGGCTCGTACTACTGCGATGAGTTCAACCATCAGAACTACATCACTAACTTTGGACTCAAGTATTTCCATGTCAACTGCTACGGAGACTTTCTGGAGGTCAGTTACAATCGGTTATTCTAAAATAAGTAGATCAATTTTCTGTTCATTCACAAAAACTTTAGTACTATTAGAGACCTACAAATTATGAGATTGTGTAACGTAAATTTTTGTGGTTTCGACCCTGGATTGCGTTGTTTTTACATATTAGAAAATCAGTCTGCCGTGTTGCTTCCGAGCATCAATTAATTTAAAATTTCATGATCGCTTACTATCAGGTGATCCGTCTGCTTGTTTGCCTCCTATTCCATAAAAAATCCGAAAAATAGACTATTTTCAGAATTTTAACTATTCCGCAAAAGAACTGCAACGCACTTGTAACTTCTTTGATGTTGCGGGTGTGCGGTGTTGATTGCTTACCCACTACATATACAATTAGGTAACCTGTATGCTCTTTTACAAAATATATACGAACAAAATTTCTCTATCAGAACTTGGAGACAGAACCGTACTACTTTGACGAACACGGTCGTTATGTCATAAGAGAGGGTGAGAAGTTCCACCAGTGTGCGCCCTGCACCAGTCTGTACAAGATGGGCGATGATGGACTCTTCAAAAAGGTCACTAAGGACTGCGGTCATTCTGAGAGAGCCAATCCTAATTGTCGACTGGAGATCAAGGACTTGACTGATGTGGTCATATTGCCTAAGAATGACCATATTGATATTACTGGTATGTTTCAAATTCTTGTATACTGTCAAATTCTTTCATGCGTATTACTTTTTTTCTGTATTCACCTTAACTTTCCATCCTTTAGATGGCTGTAGAGCCAGCCAAAAACATGCAGGTGCACCCCTAAATTCGGAGATCTTTGATCCCCAAACTGCAACGAGTAGAGATTATTACAAGAGGGGTAATAATTAACAGAGGGTAGCAGAGATTATTACCCCCTTTCCCTTAAAAATAAGACCATCTGATGAAGATTACTTTTAATCAAATCTTTATTCAAAGTCCCTGATGTCACCAGGAACTCTGGACGGTGATTCAGTGAAGTTCCTATGGGACAGCTTCGGTATGATACTGCCTGAAGTATTGTACGCAGTCGCCACGAAACAGCCTAAGAACCCTATACATTTCATGGCTCATATACTGATCAAGCGCAGGTGAGTAACTCAAAGAAAAAAGGGAACTTCGTCGTTATAGGGATATCTATCACCAAGTAGTCTGGATATCAAAATCATAAGAGTAAATTGAGATTTATGTTCTAATACTAATTCGAATTGGTATAATAGGGAACATGACTAATTTTTAGTTTAATGTCCGTCTAGTACATTTTAACATTACACACGTATTTTTTATTTTTTTACAGAAACGAATACTTTCGACGATATATTGATTTGAAATATCGCGTGACGTCACTTCTATGTACATTATATACATCGAAATGACGTTTTAGCCCCCACTCCTAAACTTTGATTCGTTATATCTAAGTATCATTTTATTATACATCAAAATAAAAAAATACGTGTCTAATATTGTTTCATTACCTAGCTGACGGACTAATTAGATTTTTAATTTTCATACCCTGTCATCAACCCTATTCTGTCACTACAAATTGTTTGTTGACAGAGGTGACACGATATTTAAGTACAATTTATAGTTGAGTAGCCTTTTAGTATTCGGGCGTTAGTAATTAAAGCTGTAAAATAAACGTTATTTTGTTATTGTTTGGTCACATTTTCCCCTGTTTTTTTCTAGTTTCCACAGCCAATCATAACATACCTGTCTAGCTTAAGCTTTGCTTTACCTACCTACCTATTTCTAATTTGGTCCAAGGTTGATCATGTTTCATTCGGATCTCTAGGTTCGAAGCGACCAAGCAGGAGTTTGATAAGCTGGCGAAGAAGGCTGACAAATACCGCACTAAATTCCACGAGGAACGCAAACAAGTGAGTTTGTTCCGTAAACTTTTTCTTACAGTAGGTACTAGTAATGATTGTTACATACGCTGATTACTCGCAACTCATGTTCAGTGGCGAGCAGGTTAACCTGCTCCTTTCATTTCTTTATTAGATTTTCAATATTATGACTTGATACCCAATAAAGTTTAACATCCAATGAAAAAATCTACAGATTGGAATAGATCCCTATAACATGGGACTCATAACATAAATAGTGAAAAGTGGGTGTTACATTGTACAGTGGCATTAAGTGCCGCAATGTGCCTGTGCCTACCCCTTCGGGGAAAAAAAGGCGTGATGTTATGTTGGAATAGCTTGTCCTGCTAGCCACTTAGAAGTATAACTAGCATTACCTACACTGTATCTATAGGAACGAATCTTATTCTTATATTTTGTCTGACATTAGAGACTTGATTCACTGTTCATAGTCAGACTTTAATATATTTTTTGTAAAACAGAAAGCCAAGGAAGAGAGACAGGCATGGAAATCCAAGTTGATAAAATATGCTAAGGCTGGCGAACTGGATGATACTCACCAACAACGAACCACCATGCAAAGAGTGCATGATTTAGAGTACCTTAGCTTCTTAGAACAATATTATTAGAAGATTTTAAAGTTGCGTTGGGTCACCCTAAAATATAAACGCGAAATATACGGTAATTTAAATAGATGGTATGAAAAATCCATTTTGAATACTTAGCACAGGGTATATGATACTTAAGACATGTCTATAGACTGACAAGTGTTGAAAACTGGCCCTTAAGTCTAAATTAAGATACAATGTAACAATAAATATACTGTGTTAATGTATGATAATAAAATCGAAAATGCATCTGCCATCTCAATCGAATATCAAGTGTATTTTGAAAAGGGATTAGCCCAATGCAACTTATGCAGCCATAAAATTATGTAGTTGTAATTAGGTAGATCAATGAATCATTTATTTGCACTCAAAACATTATTTTTTTAGGATATTTTGTTATAAAATCTGTTTATTTTTGTGATGGGTATTAAATTTTAAAGTATTGTCATTAAATTATGTGTAATTAAATTGATGTTTACCAGAAAAGTTTTGTTTTTATTTAACACACTGCGTATAATAACAACTCATGTTTAGTGTGGGAGAGCCATGATTCGGCACGAATGAGCCGGCTCGACCGGATTGATACCACGGCCTCACAGAAAACAGACGTGAAACAATGCTTGCGTTGTGTTATGTCGTGTGAGTGAGGTTACCAGAGGCCCAATTACCTTCCCCTTCCCCAATCTCCCCAATCCCTGAATCCCCAACGATACTCAAACTCGTAATCCCCAAAAGGCCGATAACGCAAGTGCGTTACAAGTGTAACGCCTCTGGTTTTTCGGGTATCCATGGGCGACGCCGATTGCTTACCATCAGGTAATCCGTCTGCTCGTTTACCGGCTTATCCCATAAAAAAACAAGTTTTAATATTTTTATAACTTGGGGTTACTTAAAATGCTGAAAAGGTGTTTTACAAATTGTTGGTGTAACGGCTGTCTGTGACGGCTAGTGATGTTCCAAACACAAATACACATTATAAATAATTTATTTCCATGTTACCTAAACACTAAGCTACTCCGAAGGTGTGTGTGTAGATAGTTAAGAATCCATTCAAAAATATCCCTTATTGACACTATAAACTTTAATATCATACAAATTACACTTTCGAGTCCACTTACTGTACACAGATAAGTAAGCTTTATATTGTCTACGCCAAAATAATAATGTAAAGAATATTAAAACGTGTACTAGGGCAAAATAGAGCGAGTAGGCCTTAATTGCAGGGTGTGTCCATTAGACTTGACATTTCGAGATTCTTGTAGGCAGACTTGAATACATTTTGAGTATTTCAGTCATAGTAATAAACTCTGTGTTCAAGTCAAAATGGGGTTAGGCAGCCAGCAATTAACAGCTATACCCTAAAAAGCTACACACTGCTAAAACCACAAAAGCGGGGCCTAACAAAATAAAAGAAAAATAAAAAATATGTTGTCAAGGTACAGGTATTTATTGTTCAAGCGTCTACTAGATATAACGAGACACACTGTGAGACGTCGACTTTCGTCCGAAAGCAAATAAAAAACAACAGATGATACACGTCCCGGATGGACATTAAAATCCAATTCAAAACCCACTGTCTAACATTAATATTTGGTTTAATTAAGAAAATAATGGATAATCAAGTGGAACGCAACCGTCGCGTGAGGACAGAAGGGGGCCCATGACACCAACGTCCGTGTCGACGGGACATTCGATAAGCTAGTATCAAAGGCACATTTTGAATTGGCATTCAAATCTAAAACACAGTACAAAAACACAATTTATATGACAATACAAGAACGCAACGTTAACCTCGACAATGGGTTGAAAAGGGTAATAAAAATATTTTGGTAAAAATATAGAAAATAATTTGATGGAAGCAATATCAAATGACAAATTTGGGGTCATAGCGAATCACTAACGCAAGGCAGCATAACACGACCATATTATTCACCCGAGAACTTCAGCGGCGGCGTGTGACCACGTCCTTGACAATGTACTACAGGCTATACTTAGTAGGACAATATTACTAATACGTATTCTGCTGTCTTGCACAAGATTAAAATAATCATAAAGTCGCAATAGCTTTGCTACCACCAATAAAGTAGATAATTATTATTTTATATCTAGGAAACAATTTCTGTATTTTTATTTCGTAATATATTAAACTAATTTAGATATGGTTTGAATTTTCAATTAAGATCGTTCGAATTTACAAATGTACTATTCTCATACCTGCCCCGACTGCAAAAGGGTCGAGGGCGAGAAGACATTGTTGAAGGAGTACACAAGTACCATTTGTAAATAGAAACATAATAGTATTATAATATTAGGTTGTTATTACTTCAATCGTAAGATATAAGTACTAAAACAATGCCTCCTACGTCACATTTGAAAACCTTTGAAATATTTTTGTTCAGTAAAAACTATTTAGTTACATTATTGTATCAGGCGCTGGAAATACATACAACATATTTAATTTTAGATACTCCAATATACTTAATGTTACTATGAATTTGGTCGATCACTTTGAGACCGCATTACAATAATACAGCAATAAGTAATAATTCTCATCGCGACTTACAACAGAACGCAAAGCGGCAACTAAATCTAATACAATCGATATAAAACGAGGATTGTGATGACGTTATATGTATTTCCACGAGTACCGACACGATAAACTCCTCACAATTAGTTAGTTACAAGCTAAACCGCACAAACAGGTACAAAAGTATTTTTTCTATTCTCTTTTATTTACAAGAGGTGAATATCAGAAATGAATAGGACACATAGAATTTGGTAACAACAATATATGACAAAATGGAATTCGGTCTAATTAGTTATATTGTACGGCAACAGACTACGCGTATCAACTGATTAGTTACGTTCCTCATCTAAGTACGAAGCAAAAATTTAAAAGCATACCCAATATTTCTTTAGATAACGCGTAACTTTTAAAAAGCGATTAAATCTAATTTCATACTTTCTGTAACACGAAACGAAGTACAATAATTTTTAAGAAATAAAAAACTAACAATTAATAGTACCCCATATTCCAATTCCCGATTAATAACTCTACTTTATACTTTTAAATCAATAAAGGTTACTTGACGTTTTGGATAATGACTATGTATGTTGTAATAAAGAAAAAAATATGTACAAAAATGAAACTAGATATTTATTATTAGAATTGAGAAATTATTTAACCAATTTTACTTAGGCTTTCATGTGAAATGGAACATAAGATTACACTAAATCCGACTGGCCATTTTCAATTAGCTATTACAAGCTTAACACTGACATTTAGGAAATTTTGCTACTGACAAATAATTTTCTCTAGACACCAAGTTTAGATAAATCGTGTGTAAAGTTCTTAACAAAATGTTAAGCGCCAGAACATAAAGTAAAACATTGAACCGCTCACACAGGAAACTGTATCGTAGACTTCTATTACATCCAATCGAAAATCTAATATTATACATCTAATATTATGACATTCACGAATGGCCAATGTTAACACGAAACAAAATAATCTAAGCTACACAAAATAAAATTGTAACGCGACAAAAATAAATGTTTGCAGTACAAATGAAAGTTCCGTAGGGATGGGTATATTCAATCCGGCTGGGTAACAGTATAACATGGCTGGAAATAATGAATTTTGTGCCGTGTGATACAAGTGAGGGGCTGTGGTGAGGCAAAACGAAGAAGGTTTTATTATAATAAACATTTATTCTGAAGGCCATACCACAGCCTAAAGAGTATTACATAGTATAATATGCATTTTAGGATACCAATATGCTTCGGCTCTGTTCAGTAGTCAGTTCACTCACAATTGAAGATGTCGCGTGATAAAGACACGAGGAATTTTATTAGACAGAGACAGGGCTTAATTTATTTACGTTTTCTCTGAACACGTCACCTGCGTGTTATAGTCAATACAAGAAATAAAGTTACATACTAGATATAATAAGGGGTCTCCCGCGTACATTAGAACCGACGCGTCAACACAGCCGAAGCACCAAGTATTGACTGAATCAAACAAAATTCCAACTACATTACCCAACATTCGAGACAGTTATGTACAAAATGAAATGTTACCAACGTTCAAAATTCTAAAGTAATGTAACTAGAATTCCATTTAATTTATTCTAGTATGATGTATTCAGCTAATTTTGGGACGAAACCGCACACTCGGCGAGTACACTCTGATGATGGGAAAGCGAAAATAAAAACGTATTCTATATCTTCCCTGGTCCTTATATTTGAAAATAAGCTTTGGTTTGATATGTTGAAATTACAATTAATTTAGTGAGTGTCACTAGTACAAAAGAAAGTTTCCTAAAGTTACTTACCAAACTAATGAAACAATAGTAATTTGACGGCGACACAGATGTCGCGGGTGTCGTGTGGTGGCGCGCTGTGTGCGAGCTCGTCCCGTGAGTTAGTGTAGAACGTAAGGTTATGCGTTAGTTAGCGCTGAACGCGTCGGCCAGTTCCGTCTGACAGTCGAACGTCTCCGAGCTGTCGATGTGGTCCGGATAGAACTCCCTGTATATTTTATCCAGCAGTGATTGCCTGGAATTGTAAATATAAATACACTTTAGAATTACCTCGTCATTCATTGACACTAGTTAATGCATTGGTCAAAGTCAAAGTATAATCTGGCATTGGAGAGTATGATCAAGTTTAATGTTGAAAAGCAGTTGTTAACTCACTTTTTTAAACTGAAGTCTTAGTACACCTGCCTATAGCTTTGATAATGATATTTATCTTGTAATAATTAAAGGTTACTCACTTGGCAGCCAGCCCGCCACCCGGTGGCAGGCCCGGTATGTTCTCCTGCACGAGCTGCTTCAGCACCCAGGAGAAGTGACTCGACGAGTCCTCGCGCTCCTCGTTACCGGCGCTGCGCTCTATCAAAGCTGAAACATTTTTACCGCTACGTTAGCCTACATTTAATAGTTAATATTAATCCATGAGGTTTTACGTTGCGTCAAAAACAATGGACTAGATGCATAAACAATTTTTGCCTCTTCATTTATAAATAAATGTCTAAATGTAATAATGGTCTTGAAACTTAAAGTAACACACTTTTAGAAGTCGATTATTTTTTTTAACAGAATAAACCATGAAAGATCTAGACTAGAACATAAATTAAACATGGAGCTAGAACTAACTAGATACCATAGACTCGTACCTTAGTCCAATTAGGGTTGGCAAAAACTACAGACCACTAACAACGACCCATAACATACTTCTTTACCTTCCGTCACATTCAGGAGTCTGTTCCAAATTTTAGCCGATTATTTATTACTAGTCTTAATCTATATATATAAAAATCAATTTATGTTCGTTAGTCTCGCTAAAACTCGAGAACGGCTGAACGGATTTATCTTATCTTGGTCTTGAATTATTCGTGGAGGTCTAGGGAAGGTTTAAAAGGT